CTGAAATAATACCAAGTTGCACATTGTCAAATGCTTACATCTGACAATTTAATTTGTTGGGCTGTGTCGGGTGGTGGAGGATTACAGGACAAAATAATCAGCCAGGCCACTGTGGGCTAACCTTAAAATTAATATGAATCATTTGTGTGTGTGTGTGTTTTCATCTCTCATCTCACTCTATTCCACTTCACATGCACTGCCCCACCAAGGTCTGCTGTAGGAAAAGAACCCAGTTGACCTCTGCACAGCAGGAGGTCTCTCCTTCTCTGATGCTGTTCCTGTCCATGAGGTTTGGAAGTCCCTCTACCAACTGTCTGTGGTGCCTACTCCATGCCCCTCTGCAAGTCCAGACCTAAGGCCTTCCCACTTCCCCTCTGCCCTATGACTGTCTTCTCAGTTAAAACGACACGCACAGACAGAGTACGTGCGTGTACCCAGACGTAAGAATGTACGCGTCTACGTTGTACTTCTTTTGCACCGTACGTAGCCAACGATGATAATCAGAGGTGCGGGACGCGCCTGCTCTCTCCCTGCGATGGATGCGGGGGTCCCGCCGCTTCAAACGAGGTCTAGGGGTTTGGTTGCATGGGCCCCTGGGGACTGTCACGCGCACATGGACAGGCCTCTACTAGTTCTCAGACGGAAGCAGTCCGGATCTCTTCCTGAACTAAAATCTACTTTATGAAGGACGGTTAATTAAAAACAGAAATTGATCTGGCAATTTGTTGTTGAAGTCGTAAATGTTATTAATATTATTAAAAAGCATTGAAACCAAAACCAAGTCTCGGATCAAGTATGCTAGATGCTAAACACAACGCGCTGGCATTCGCAGCCAGCATTATGATTCATAATAATTTTTTTTGGGGTCAGATTTGTTACATGGCCTAACCTACATTTCACAAAAGCTACTCTCATTCTCATCTCGGAGCCGTGGGGAAATGGTAACCGGTAGTAACAAAGGCACTCATTCTCGGCTTTGTGTATCCAAGGAAGGCTCAGATTCTGAGAACAAATGCCACCAGGGCCAGGATGCGAATCTGGGTAAAAAATCCGAGTGCGGTGGTCAGCTCTCAAGCAAATACGTCAGCGCTGCCCACGTTTGTGCGGGCGCTCACACATTTGCACGCGTGCGGTTCATCCGCCAGCTCGGAAGTGGGGAGTTCTGCAGCGCTGATAACCAACCGCGAATACGAGGCACCCTTACACGTATACTCACTCGCACGCCGGCGCGTACTCACACGCCAACACAGCCACTGACTGCAACACACCACACACTGTACATTCACACAAATACTAACTCCCCCCCACCCCTTTCCTACAGCCGTACAGTGCTGTTAGCGAGGACTTATTAAAACCGGAATCGTGCAACAGGGGATGGTGGGGTATGGCAAGCACCATGCCCAGCTGCTTTTGTCTCCCCCAGTGCACCAGGTACCAGTCATATAAGGCTCAGTTTGAGCAAGGAAAGGTCCTGGGCCAAGGCAGATAATCGCCGCTGATGGAGTGCGTGGTCAGGAAGTGAACTCCGATTGTCAGGTTTTTTTAGGGCAGTTCGCTAAACCACTCACCCAACACCCCAAACTCAATCACAGACCAGGGTGGTTCAAGAAGATTTTTGTTGCAATACCGGTGATCGCAGTAAGAAAAGGGTAAACACCCGGATTCCGGGTTGCCGCACGTACAGCACTGTCCATTGCACCGGTGCGGCAGTGAGCGGCACACTGCACCGGTGGGCGGGACACTGCACAATCACTCATGCCTAGCCAGACACAACACCCTGACACAGAACAACAATTCCGTTGAGCTGTATGGAGACTGTATAGTCAAGAACCGTGCTCAATTATCTTGGTCCCCAATACCATTTCCGTACCGCAGGAGGTACCCATTTGTAGGCCGAGTTGGCCTTGGGAAAGGACCGACCAATTTCAGATACAATCCCAGAGCAACAACACAGTGCCACCGGATCCTTTATCACTCGCCACTGACGTTAGCCGTGACTGGTTCTCTTACGCCATGTAGCGCAGTGTGGTTGTGTCTCATGCATCCCAGTGCGTGTGATTATCGTGCGTGTGTGATTCTGCGTGTGTGTTAGAGACGTCACATGTGAGGCTCATGTTCACACGCCCTGGGGGTGGTGACTCCGAGGTGCCCTAAACGAGGGTCAGAGTCAGGTGCAGATATCAGCCTGGAATCAAACCCATGTTTCCTGGACCGCCAACCACTAAGCCGGCACTTTCCCTAGCCCAATGCCATAAACACGCAGACATGGCACGCGTGGCCACCGTCATGCTACCGCCGCTTCTGTCTGCAAGGGGCGCTGTCGCATCTCTGGGCGACAACCGCAATTGTTGGTTTTAAGTTAATTTTGATTTGTTCCATAGATGCTCTCGTTCAGCCGGTTGGCAGCTACCCAGCACACGCAACCTGGCCATCGACTCACAGTGCTCAGCCCACTCACACTGCTGCCGGGGGGGGGGCTGGGGTGGGGGTTGGGGCCGGGGTGGGGGGCCGGGTGCTTTGAGAAACTTCCCCACATCCATAAGAGATGTTTTTGGGTTAGATCGCGTGACTAAATGTGTCGTTAAACCCCCCACCACCCAACACAGTCGTGTCAGTAAGGTTTGTCACGTTAAAAAAGAACGTGCCAATTAGTTGCTACTGCAGCAGACCGGTGTGTTGGAGAGTAAACCGACAAAGTTTACAATTTGAGTACGGTGACGTTTTGCTGGTAATTACAACCGGCCACGTCGTTTCGACTTCTGTGCCGGGAGATGGAATGGAGTCGGCAACCTCTGGAGTGCGAGTCCGGTGCGTTGAGCGTAGTGCCAGGGTTGTGGGTGCTCGTGACGCGGCGACGACGGAGTAAATAACTCGCGTCCAGGTCCAGCTGGGGTGAAAACGTCTCACAGGCCGGGCCAGAAGCGTTTACGCATGCGCCTCATTCCTCCATGTGCGTTTGTGAATCCATTTATTCCCGTTTTACGTTCTCCGAGAGGAAACATTTACGCTATTGACCGTGGCGACCGAGGAGAGAGCAGAGCGGGTGCGGAGAGAGCGCGGCACACGGAGACGTACGTGGAGACTGTCGTGACTCGGGGGCGTTAGGGGCCCACACGTCTCCACATGGGAGAGCAGCCTGTGGCGACCCGAGAGGCGGTGGCAGCACAAGCGTCACGTTCGCCACCGGTGGCACCGGCGCGAGGCTGGGACTGGGAGGTTCGGCGCCGATGTGGCCACGTGTACGGTGAGAGCAGAGTCATCAGTGTTTTCAATTCACTGGATACATAGGTTACGGATTTGAAATTTTGAAGTTTGGTTCTGACATTATCCCCTATTTGTCAACTTACCTCGTGTTATCACGGCTTCTTGGAGGTACCTCTGCTCATCTTTCCCTTCCGCACACTCCCCTACCTCTACCCTCTCATCTCACTCTACTCCCCACCACGTGCTTTCTGCTTCCGCAATCAAGGCTTGGTCTCAAAACCCCCAGTCAACCATCGGAAACATATCCGGTCGCATCCCTCGCAAGGCGAGTGCCGACCAGGCTCAGCCCTGCCGAACGTCAGGGACGTGCGTTGAGATCGAGCGTGTGCAGGGCGACTCTGTCACTGCTACCCACAGGGTGGTGGAGTGGGTGGCGCAGTGGTAACACTCGCACCTCACGGCGAGAAGCGCTTGGGTTTGATCCCTGACCTGGGTGCCGTTGTATGTGCGGAGTTTGAATATTCTCCCCCCTGTTCTGTGTGGGTTTCCTTCCGGTTCTCCGGTTTCCTCCTCCCATAGCTAAAAACACATGCAGTGCAACTGCTGTTGCGGCGGCACATATCCCAATATTGACAACATTGCTCAGCAACATCGTCTGCCCTCACCTACTGCAAAAACTTGGCAGGACCCTTTTGAAAACAAATCTCGAGACTCAAGGTGAGGCTTTCTCAGGTAAACAAACGTAAATAAATGCTCATAAGAGTGCATCGAAGAGCCGTAGGTCGCCACGAGTTGCCATGCCAAACCAAGTGACGTGTAGGATTCCTAGCATCCGGTGGAAATGCCCACGATGCAGAGCCGAGTGAGTAACACACACACTGTATTCACGTCAGGACTCCACGTGAAGACACGAGCCTCAAAGAGCAGATCCGATGAAGCACATGCATGCAACAAGGCCTTTATATCCAGGCAAGAGCCCACCGAGTCTCTCTCTCAAGGAAGAGGTGGCTTTAAAAGCCACATCAACTGGCCGGGTGAGCGTCACGGTGGGATTCGAGCGAATGCTCCTGAGCTGCGTCGCAATCGCCCCCTAACGTCCGAAGGGGGCGCGGAGACTCCCGGGGCAACAACGCCTTGCGGCCGTCCCCATCCCCTCCGGACCCCCCCACCTCCACGGCTGCCGGACCCTCCCCCTCGGGGGTCGACCGAGTGCGTCACAACACCGCGAGTGCGTCATGCCTCCGCACGGGGCTGGCGACTGTGCCCGCCGGTGACGTCGCACGCTACCACACGCGTCCGGTCGCCGTGTGTCTTGGGTCACCACGCGTGCCGGGTCTCCGTGTATCGGGTCGCCATGTGCCGGGTCGTCATGTGCATCGGGTCGTCGTGCGTGTCGGGTGACCGTGTGTGCCGGGTCACTGTGTGCATGATTTGGCGGGTGGTGAAGGGAGTGGTAAATGATGAGCAGCGAGGGTGAGTGTGTGTGTGTAGCTGTGTGTCTCTGGGTTGTGAGGGTGTGTGAATGAGTGTGTGACTGGGTTCAGTGCAAAATGCAGCAAGTTGACACAGTAGGGGACACAGCTGGTGCATCTGCGTGCCATCTCAGTCAGCCAACACACGGCACTTGGGTATGTACCGTGACCTCCCGTCAGCAAGCCTACAACACTTCACGTGGCCTGAAAGTGCACCTGGCCTGGCACAGGCGCCGTGGTGATATCACCATCACTTAGTGGTGAATGGAGGGTATTGGTATTAGTCTCTGGGTTACGTTGTATGAGTGAGTGCCTTGTTATTACCGGAAGGCGCTGCTCGGGGATAGGAGGTCTGATTCCCAGCTGGAGACCGGCTGTCCCCAAGCAGATGGAGTGGGGAGAGAGGGAGACACAAACGTTCGGTCAACAACGCGACACTCGACACGATGGGGTCAGCGTCTCTGCTGTAGCTGCTCCCCTGGCCCTCGGCACTGCTGCCGTTATCCCCGCCCGGGCACCGCAAGTGCGCACCGCACCCACACAACGCTGTCAACTTCTGCCCCATCTCGAACTTCGCTTCCCTTGGGAAATCCTCGACAGGATCATCATCTCCGAGCACCTTTCACTTTTACCTTTAAACTTAAATTCCCATTGTATTACGATTATTATAATACTGCGCTTGCTTACCCAGAAAAAAAACTCACTGAGTCTCAATACTCAGGAGGGTCCTGCCGAGATATTGCTGTCGGGGGCGATGCTGCTGCGTGTCATCCTAATTGAGTAATTTGCAGATAACTTTTCAGCACTGGGAAATATGTCCAATACCAGTTACATTGGTATTGGCCATACTTGGCTTTACCGAAAGACCCATAAATATTGTGATTATTTAAGCCAGGGGTGGGGAACCTTTTTTTCTGCCAAGGACCATTAGGATATTTATAACATCATTCGCGGGTCAAACAAAATTACATTTATGTTGCTATGAAAAAAGCTCCTAGATTTATTTAATTTCGAGTTGTGCGGTTGCCTTGGCAGGGCCAGACCAAATGATTTCGCGGGCCTTATACGGCCCGCGGGCCGGACATTCCCCACCCCTGATTTAAGCTATGGGTAGAAGCCGGAAAACCTGGAGGAAGCCCATGCAGAACAGGGGGAGAACATACAAACCACACACAGGAAGATGGCTAAGTCAGGAATGGAATCCAGGGGCTTCTCGCTGTGATTCGCGAGCACCACCACTGTTGCCACCCCGGTGCCAGTATTGGGGACTGTGAGAAGCCGAGTTCGGTGAGGAAGTGAGGTGGGCATGGGCAGCGCCTCTCCCATCGTCACATCCCGTGGATTTTTTTTTACTTCACCCCGGTTATTTTATGAGGGCGTCCACAACGTCCACGCACAAGCAAAAAGCAACCGCTGCAGCCAGAATGACGTGGCGGCCAGGGAGAGAACAGCGAGCGAGAGAGAGAGGGACCACAAATGTTTTTTTATATTTTTTGCTCGCATTTTTGTTGTGACTCGCGATTGGCCCACGGCGCTCGTAACCTTCCACCGAGGGAAAGCGTCCAACGGCGGTGGCGACGCGTGATTGGTCACTGGCCCGGGCGCCACGAGGGGCCGGCTTCTTCCAGAGTGCTCGGGACTCTGCGTCTGGGAGTTTGTCATTCAATTTGGGAGCAAACGTTAAAAGTGCCGTCCTTGTCTCTCAAGGTCGTCCCCAGGTTCAGATGAGATGTGGAGGGAGGGAGGGGCGGGTAGGAGTGGGAGGAGGGGAAGGGGAGTGACACTCACCGGCTGGGTGTCCCCTGCAGGTTTGTGAGGGCCGAGAAGTTGTTGCGGACGCTGCGCAGGCTGGCCAGCACCTGGAGACATCACCATCGTCATCAAACCACATCGTCTGCTGCAACATCACCACCACCGCCATCAAAACACATTGTTTACTGCATCGCCATCACCATCACACCATAGTCTCTCTTCCATCGCCACCAGCAGTCATGCTTCTCACCCCCAGCGGTGACGCTCACCATCACCGCCGTTCTCTCACCACTTATAGCCGCGTTGTCGTCGACCGCATCAACAGCACTGTTACTCGGTGTCATCAACCGCGAGGTCCTCAACCTCTAACGTCACTGTCGTCACCTGCATCGCTACAAAACTCCGGCATCACGCGACTGCATCGTCATCGCTGTCGACGGTCAATCGATCGCTGTTCAAAACGTTGGCCTCGTCTTCAGGGTCACAGGTCGACTCTGCGGACGTCTGCCCCGCACGCCGGGACTCTGACCGCTCGGCCGGCCTCGCCCCAAGCCGCTGAGCCTCAGTTGTTGGAAAAGCGTTCGGTCCGAGACCGCGGCGTCGCGAGCAGGCGTCCGCTCCCACGCAACGGGTCGCACGTGCGCATGCCTCGGCATGCCTTCCGTCTCCAACATCCAGGGTTTGATTTTTTGGCTACGTTCACCGAAACGCACCGCGGCCGTTTTGTGGTCACGGCACAGCCGGGTTTGCTCGACGCTTTAGTTTTTTCGCAGCCAGCGTTACGATTCGCAATTGATGTGTTGGTTAGGTCGCGTGATGATTGGGCCTAATATCGGTCGTAAGACTCTGCCCCCCCACCACCCGGCACACACAAACGTATGAAATTATAATTGCGATAGCAACCAGGTGACAGTTAATCTAATCTTGGGTGGGCGAGTCAGAGACTGGGACGTGAACCCAGGGGCTGAGCTGTGAGAGCGGTGCACAGAGCCCTCGTGAGGGATCATTTGGGGGCGGCTCAACGGCGGCGCGTTTGACGCTCTTTGCAAACGGTCGTGGTTTAATTCTGGCAGGCCGCCCTTGTTGATATTGCGAGGTTGCATTCACCGCTAAGTACCAGGAGCCGCATGCTTCGCAGTGGACATCAAAGATCCCAGGCATCACGGTAAAAAATTTCCAGAAAAAATTGCTCAGTTGGGATCACAGACAGAGCAGCAACATCGCCCGCCTCCTATTGTGAAACGAGTGCAGGCTGCGTCGGTAAAACACGTCCGCAGCACCTCGCCGTGTGACGATCACCCTGCGCCTACGGGGACGATGGCGCGGAGAACCAGCCATGCTCAGTTATTGCCTGGGCCTCACGCGGGACGACCACGAACGTTGTGCCACACTGCACTCACCTGGGCAAACGGGGTGACGATGAGATCGTCGCCATGCCTACACACGCGCACACACGAAGGGTTCCTACGTTAGCCGGATCACAATGTCGGAAGCCACCACCGCATCTTGTGAAGTTTGTTATGTATACGCATCGGTATTCAAAGTGTTACCCCACCTTGCAGGTGTGGGGTTTTCTCCGGGCACTCCGGTTTCCTCTCACATGTATAAACTTTTTAATGCCCGTGGTTTCCCATGCTTCCGTACAACAACTTTGTACATCACAAATTCTGCGGCGTTTTGCTACATTGTATAAAACGACCAAAACAATGATACTAATATCTATGGGATCCTTTGGCCAGTATCAATATATTAAATGATAAAAAAGGCTTTACCCTTCCTGGCATAAATACAGGAGGCGTTAAGATATTCAAACACCAGACAGACACCTACGACAAGGCATCAAGAGTCTGTAACAACCACACCGACTCGTGGTAAAGAATGCAAACAAAATGTTTTGATACGTTCACAATCTTTGATGTCCTCTTCCTGTTCCTCCTTCTCCGAGTGCTCAATCCGCTCTTTCTCTCTTCTCGCTCCCCCCTTCACTGGATCAAACTTCCCCCCCCCCCCCCTCCAGATTACGCAGTCACCTTCGCTCTCTCATTTCCGCTCCTCACTCAAAACTCACTTCTTGTTCCCTGGCTCACCCCACGACCCCCCTTAATCTCCCCCCCTCGTAACCACCATCGTCACTGTTTCCTTTTCATGTTCTCATTACATGGCTCTCACTCATTCCCCATTCATTCAATCCATTCATCATCATTTACTCTCATCAATTTCGCTTTCACAGAATTCAAGCATCACAGATTCGCCCCCATTGTTTCCATGTACCATTCTCAATTCTCTCTAAGGCTCCTTGGATAAGGCGCTATACAGATGACGTTAAGATCAGACGAGATATTGTACGCACTGTCCTTGAAACTGATTGGCCTACACCAGACAGCCGCTTTGTTGGTTTTGTCGCACCACGAGTCCTATAGACCAAAGGTTGCCAAAAGGTGAACAGTACAAGGACAATGCATTAACAGCTCGGGGTAAACACATATCTATGGGACCTTTTCACCAGTATCCAGATAATGAATGATAAAAAGGCTTTATCCTTTCTGGCGCACATCTTAACACTTCCTGCATTTATTTCAGAAAGGTTAGATAATATTCATATCCACGTGACTTCCAAGCCTCACGCACGTTCACTCAACACAGGTGGCATCACGCGAGCCCAGCACTGGAGCCTGGAGGCACAGTGCGGGCGCTCTGAGCGCTTCCCTGCGTTGACAGAGGGAAGAACAACTGTGCGGGAGGCATGGCGGTCAGGAGGGTGGCCAGGTCACAGCTTGAGTGCGGAGCCGCGAGCGGGGGGCGCCGCAGAATGTTATTGCCAGGAGCAGCCCTGTGGGACCGAAAGCCTCGCTCTGTGAGGAGAGGCCGGCCCCCCAAATGGGGATGCAGAACAACAACACGACGTGGAAAACCAGCGTTGTACACTGAATCAAAATCACGCAAAGCACTTGGTTATCAAATTGGTTACGAAGATTAAAATATCACGTATGAAAGAAGATGAATTTCGATTTAAAGCTTTCGTGACTGCAATGATTCATCTTCTTTGGTTCTTTCGGTAAAGTCACGTAGAATGAGAATAAAATAATAAATTGATAAAATAAAATAACACAATAATATTCTCACGACGTTTCGGCCACAACACAAGCGGCCTTCATCAGGTGAAGGGACGAGACTGTCTGGTAGGACAGCGCTAGAGTGAAAGAGCCACGTTCAGATCACGGCCTTTAAGCTGTGTGAGAGGAACAAAGCGCCTTGACAAAGGAATTAGCATATAATTTAGCATTGAAATGGCTGAATGATTAGCTTGTGACTGGTCACAGAAATAGTTATGTTAAAAGTTAAAGCATACACATCCGCAGAGGCACCCCTTGACAATGGAATTAGCATAGAATTTAGCATTGAAATAGCTAAGTTAAAGCATACACATCCGCAGAGGCACCCCTTGACAATGGAATTAGCATAGAATTTAGCATTGAAATAGCTGAGTGATTAGCTTGTAACTGCTCACAGAAATAGCTACGTTAAAGTCAGACCATACACATTCACCGAGGCACTTAGTACAAATCAAACAGGAGAATTGGTAAATCTGATGGCTGGGTGTATGGAATTGATGTGGTCGCGGAATTGGTCTAGAGCAGGCTGGCCATGAACTCGTCCGTCTGAACGGGGCCCGTAGCTATCCGTGGTGCTAAAGTTGAGGGTAAGAATCCACCCATTTTTTCGCCATATAGCATTGTGATATATAACGACTTATTGTTGGTAGCTTAGCTGATTGGAGAATATAGAGTTTATTGATAACATTAAGGTAATTTATATTTTAGTTTTTATTGGTTCACTATATAGTACTGTGAATAGCTCAGATGTGTAGGCCTTGACTTCAACATAGGCATTTCTGTGACCAGTCACTAGCTAATCACTCAGTTATTTCAATGCTAAATTCGCCTAGTTATTTCAATGCTAAATTCTCCTGTTTGATTTGTACTAAGTGCCTCGGTGAATGTGTATGGTCTGACTTTAACGTAGCTATTTCTGTTAGCAGTTACAAGCTAATCACTCAGCTATTTCAATGCTAAATTCTATGCTAATTCCATTGTCAAGGGGTGCCTCTGCGGATGTGTATGCCTTAACTTAGCTATTTCAATGCTAAATTCTATGCTAATTCCATTGTCAAGGGGTGCCTCTGCGGATGTGTATGCTTTAACTTTTAACATAACTATTTCTGTGACCAGTCACAAGCTAATCATTCAGCCATTTCAATGCTAAATTATATGCTAATTCCTTTGTCAAGGCGATTTGTTCCTCTCACACAGCTTAAAGGCCGTGATCTGAACGTGGCTCTTTCACTCCAGCGCTGTCCTACCAGACAGTCTCGTCCCTTCATCTGATGAAGGCCGCTTGTGTTGTGGCCGAAACGTCGTGAGAATATTATTGTGTTATTTTATTTTATCAATTTATTATTTTATTCTCATTCTACGTGACTTTACCGAAAGAACCAAAGAAGAAAAAAAAAGAAGATGAAGTAGAGATTAATGTATTAATCAATAACATTAATATTTATATGACAAGTCCAACTGCCCATTAAAACTCAAGTTAACAGGCCTATTTTATTTAAGGGGTCGAGATCTTAGGCGACCAGGAGAGGGCCTCGTTTGCAAGAGTGACCTGGGTCACTGCTACAAGACACGGAGTGGGAATCGTCTTGAAACGTGGCAGGGATAGAATACCGTCACACACGCACACGCGCACACACACACGCACGCACGCGCGCACGCACGCACACGCGCACACACGTATGCACACACACGCACGCACGCGCACACGCACGCACACACGCGCACACGCACGCAACACGCGCACACGCACGCACGTACACGCGCACACGTGCACACGCACGCACACGCACACAGGCACACACGCGCACACACACGCACGCGCACACACACGCACACAGGCACACACACACGCTCGCTCGCTGTGCGAGCATCGCGGGCCGGGGAGTCACGCGGCACCAGGACACCGCTCGGGCGCACACAAAGAAACAGATCCCCTCCCCCCGGTGAATATTAATAGACCGTAGGAAAAAGTGCTTTTAGCGAGCGATGTTAACACGTTACACCAGGTACTCAATTGAGGCTGAGTCGACCTAGGGGAGGCCCAGGACGGTTAAATATTCGCCAATGTTAGTGGTTGTGAGCAGGGATCGAACTCGGGTCGCCGTGTGAGTAGCGCAGCACGCTAACACACATGCATCCGCGCGCACATACACACACACCGGCCATGCCGATCCCCGCAGCACAGCATGCGGGCTGCCCGGGCACAGTCTGGCCACACCGGTCCCCACCCGCTGCACCCTGCTGTGGCTGCACTAACCTTGGTCTGAGCTGCATTTGGACTTGTACACATAGTCAGCAAATCCACCCCGGCAGGCAGGCGTCAAAGCATTTATGTTACTCAGTTGAGATCACATCAGAACATGTGGGAGAGGTTATGAATGAGATGGAGCCCATTCGGTCCATCGGATCATTATGGCAGGAAATCACAGGCCAGCTGGAGGCAGCCAGAAATCGGCGCCGCAATTGCCCAAGATCTGTCGTCTGTCAATAGGAGGGTTACACCTTATAAATAATCTCAATGGAATAATTTGCGGGTAGTTGGATCATGACGTTGGCACACAATGACCTTCTCCCGTAAAAGTGTCACGATATCTGTAAGTGTCAACTGTGAAGCGGATGGCGCGTAGACTCGCGGTATTAATCAAGGCAGCAGCTGGATTCGAATCGCCGACCTCTGCAATGAGCGGCGAACGCGCCACAGCTGGGCCGAGGTACCCCAGCGTGGTAGAGGGCGGCTTTGTCAAGCATGGCTCATCATCATGATTATTATTCATTACTGTATCTTTTTATGAAAGTGCAACTTCCCCGCACGTTCATTTGTTTCTCTTCATATGTTGCGCAGTGCCCCACGTTAAACTTTGCCGTGCCATCGTTTTTGCTTTGCAACAAATGTGCACAAACGCTGAGCCATGCAACTAAAATGAACTCCCCTGTCTTGAACGATTGCAGAAGATGCAAGGAGGCCCAGGGTCCCACCCCGCCCTCCCTTGTAGCCTGGCAGCCGAGCCTAAAAAGCCTGGCAGGGGATCTAGTTAGACACAAGAGTTTTCTGCTCGGCCTTTGAATAAAAAAAAATGAAATACACGCAATATTTGTTTGACTCCTGATGACGATTTCTTGTGTTGTGATCGAAACGTCATAGTTTTATGTTATTTTTTTGTTATTTTCTTTGAACCTATCTACGTGACTTTACCGAAAGACCCAAAGAACATTTCAGCGGAGTAAACAGCGTAAGCATGAAAGATAATAAGAGAATCACGAAGGCGAATATGTTATGTACCCTTGGAAACAGAGCACCGTCTAGTTCTGTGGTGAAAACAGCGC